TTAATAGATGACTCCAGGTAACTTACTTACTTTTGTGAAGCCCTGCCTTCCTCATCTGTAAATACTGCCCACCCTTCAGTATCGTTGGGGAGAATTTAATGAGATAACATGGAAAGCACGTAACACGGTATGTCTAGTTACATACCAGATATACTTCTAGCAAACTCTGGCGCACTTCTGGCAAATAGCAGCTCTTCTACAGCAACCGCCACAAAAACACGCCTGGCTATGTTAAGTTGTAGCTCTGCGTGTTATACAGAAAACGTTAAGAGCCGTGCGCTCTGCGCACGGCACGATCCCTACCAAGGCTCTTATGCCCGATGGGCACACAGGAGTAGGAAACATTTTGCTCAGCTCCAAGACGCTGGGGACTGTGGTGGAAACAAGATCCTGCTATCCGAATGCCCGGCGAACATTCCAGGCACCAGCAATTTGGGAGAGGGATGTTCAAAGAGCAAGAAAGCTGAGGGATCACCGTGAGATGTGCCAAGTCTTTGGGAAGAAAGCAAACATGTCTAATTACCCTCCTCCCTGTTTTACAGCATCTCCATCAACTGATTGAATCTGGCAGGTTCCTTTCCACGGCAGCCAGACCCACAGGCCACCCAGATGCATGAGCCATGGGTCTTGGTAGCTGCTCAGAGACTGAGCACTGAGGCACTGACGAAGCGGCTTGATCTCTTGAACTGCTACTCAAGGCTGGAATGGGAAGGCAGGCATGTTCAACTGTTTGTGGGACATTAACATTCTACGCTGATGATCAGAGTCTTCTAGGCCCAAGTCACACAAGACTCAAAAATACAGAGGCAGCAGAGGCGCAAGGAGGGACCCGACATCCCACCATAGCTGTTTTTGAAAAAATGCCCCCAGCACGTGACTAGCAATACAACCCCTGTGGTTACAGTCCTGCGAATGGACAAGTGACGAGAGAGCAGTGCGTTCTTAACCCTAAGGAGGGAGCTTTAAACATGGAATCGTGGGGCGCCTGGGTGGCTCAGTCGGTTAAGTGTCCGACTTCAGCTCAGGTCATGATCTCGCGGTCTGTGAGTTTGAGCCCCGCGTCGGGCTCTGTGCTGACCGCTCAGAGCCTGGAGCCTGTTTCGGATTCTGTGTCTCCCTCTCTCTCTGACCCTCCCCCATTCATGCTCTGTCTCTCTCTGTCTCAAAAATAAATAAACGTTAAAAAAAATTTTTTTTAAACATGGAATCATGTGTTTGGGGCTCAAATTTAGCCTTTCCCACTTATGACCTATGTAACTTGGAAGTAAATCACTTAAGCTCATTTGGTCTATTTTTTTTTTTTTTTAACCATAAAATGGGCTAGAATCAAGTAATATATGTGAAGGGTACACAGCAGATTTCAAATAATGATTGAACCTGAATCCTGTATGCTCTGTTGACCCCAGCTATTTCTGAATACAGCTGTCTGAGCCTATAACAGTTAAGTAAATAGGATAATGAGCTGTATTTTAACAGGTCTCAGAAGTAGATCCAAGAGTCCTGAGGTTGGAGAAGTAGGGTAATAGGGGAGGGGAGAAAAATCATGTATGCACAAGTTGAAGAAATGTAGAAAATGAAACTAAAAGGCAAAGAGATCATCAACAAAACTAATGAAGGAACCACCCCTGTCTTGTAAAAGGAGCTGGTCGGGAGAATGAACCCCAGACCACATGAACTCATGAACTGGCGGCTTTCTCACTTTCATAAGGTCGGTAATGTCTGGAACCTATGTATCTGCCTGAGCTAATCGGAAGATTAATGAAGTGATAAACTCTTTGGAGGTTACTGGAGACCTAATCAACAGGCTAAAAATATGGTTTACTCTTCTTGTAAATTTGGTTTTCATACACTGCAAACAACAGTCCCAGTTAGGGAGCATGGGGAGAAAGAGAATGAATCTGATGCAGATTTAAAATCCACTGTTCGAATAAAAGTTGATACGGTCCCAGGCCTCAGAAAATGTGACTTCCGATGTGCTGTCTCTTTCCGTCTGTTTGGCAGGGAAGTCTCCTCTTCCCTGATCATCTGTCATCTCCCTGACACACATCCAAGCGCAGGGTCTGGCCTAAGAAGGGACTGCCAAATTTTTCCAACAAAATTAAATGCCTTCCAACGCGAAAAAGAGGGCAGGAAGCATTATTCTTCGACAACTCCAAGATCAAAAGCTGATGGCAAGGTATGGCCTTAGCATGAATGCGCCCATCTCTTTCCAAGTCCTCAGCGAACTCATTCCTCGTTTACCTGTTCCCGTGATCAATTTTGGCTGTGACCTTCTTCTTGAGCTCTGCCAGTTCATCCTTGGGGAGCGTTCCAGACAGGATCTGGGACCGCCACTCAATCAGGCTATAGGTCATCTGCTGCAGCTGGCGGAAAAGTGTGACCTTGTTGTTCTAGGATGGGAAAGTGAGGCGGAGGAAAGAACAAAAATATGAAGGTGTGATGGAGGATGGAAATATCTTTTGACTCAGCTCTGACTTTATAAGGTGTTACTGAAGCCATTCATTTTGCCATGAAGTTGTGAACTTCAAAGGGATCTTTTAAAAATAGGGATGGCTTTGCTCTAGGCCACGCCCACTCCCTACCCTATTTCAACTTTCGAATCAGAGAAGCCAGTGTAGAATGGATGACTATTCTTAACGCATGTCAAATCACCCATGTACCCTAAGTTCAGCCATGTCCTACCTCTGTTTTCAACCCTCCAGGGATTTCCTCTGTCTTCCAGACACAGCAATCACATTGTAAACTCCCTCCTATCTTGGGTCCTGCCCACATTCCCAGCTACATTTTGCCCCAATCTCTACTTCAAAAATCTACACTCCTCCCATTAAAAGCTATGCCCATTTCTCTGGAGTGCTCCAGACCCTCTCAATATGGTACTTCCTCTACCTGGAACCCCTTTTCTCCCTTCCCCCCAAGCTTCCCCCCCATTTCACACCTCCTCACACGCTATGAGCTCCGCCAACTGCTAATTCTTACTTCTTTGGTCTCAACTTAGAAGTCTCTTGCTTGAAACCCTAACTGTGGGCTGGCTATCCCTACCATTGCTCCTGGGATTGACTCTCATCACGTCACTCAGAACCTGGACCATCCTGGCCCATTTCATTCTCTTCGTAAGACAGTCAGCTTCTACAGGACGAGGAGCTTGTTCATTTTTGTATCCCTAGGAGCTGGTGTAGGGTGGGCGTTCTATAAAATGTGCCACATAAGTAAATTATGGATGGAGAAAGAACTGTTATATCAGAGATAAAGGATAATGGAAAGTAAAATGGAAAATATTATTTAAAGTCCCCATAAAACTGTTAGACCATCCCAAAAATTGTTAGACCTACAATAATTAAACCGTTATTCTGGGCTTCGGTAAGAACTTCTATACCTGAACCAAACGAACTTATGACTAACTAATTATACGTACCTCTATCATTTTAAGTATCTGATGTCCAAGCCATTAAGACCTTGATTTTATCTAAATGATTAATATATGATTATATATGTAAATAATATATATCAATTATTTATACAATATTATTTACATAAATAATGAACATAGAATATTTATGTACACGCGAGATAATTTTAAATTATGAAAAGTGCCAGAAGAAAAATAAATGGTTGAAATATGATAGGGTGTACATGGGAGAAGGAAGACATTTGAGATACAGTCATCAAACAAAACCGTTTTGTGGATCGCTTTTCAAATGTTTATTTAAAATAAAAACTTGCACACTTCCAATCACCCCATAAATACTACGAAATCACTTCTTTTTTACTTATAGGTGAAAAGTCATGATATATTTATGTAACTATACATTTTCAAATTATAGGAACTATTTTTATCTGTTGTAAAGACAATGCAACCCCCCCCCCCACACACACACACATACACAAAGAAAATTGTCAATGGCTGTACAGTATGTTCTTCTGTGATGTTCTTCTACAACAATCCCTGGGGCAGATTCCTGGGCAAGTTATCAAGTACAATCAAGATACTGAAAACACCCAAGGTACTCCCGAACAAAGAGCAAACACAGAGCGAAGAGCCCTCGGTGCAGAAGTCGGGCCAGGACAGGGGGAGACAGCAGTGAGATTAGCAGAGTGTGACAAAAGCCCTAAAAGAAGTTCAATGTCCTGTGAGAACACTAAGGAGAGAGTCGAAGAACTGGCTTATATGCTCCATTAACACTATGGATCCGAAAAATACAGAACGCGAAACCTGCTTAACATTTTGCAATTAGCTACCTCTCATGCTTTTGGCATTTTCTGAATTGCCTCTTTCTCATCAGTCAGTCTTTTGAAAAGCATAAAGATGAGACTTTAAAAAGTTTCATTTTCAATAAGCAAAGGTAAAAACCCTGTTTTTTTTTCCCCACGTAATTCTATATAAAATATTGCCATCCCACTGTCTTTCAACTTCACAAAAGGAATGAGAAATTGAGGCTGTAAAATTTTGCCTTTCAAAGCTGCTGGGCAAGAAAGGGATCTTTTTTTTCTTTTTTTCTTTCTTGCAACCTATTTGTCTACTCTTACTTAGCTGTTTTGGTGGGTTTTTAAAAATTCTAACGAAGATATTATTTCTCGTATTATGATAAAAAAATAAAGCGCTCAGACTCAGGGGATCCCTTCTGAGAGACAGTGCTTTGTGGCACATGCTCACAAGTTCTTGGTCTCAATGATATCAGACACTATCCGGGGCGATTTAATTATTGCCTGTCCATATCAGCCTTCTTTGCCAAGTTCCCCCCCCCCCAAAAGAAGGATGAAGACAGCCATTCTTCTGTGATTCACTGTGCCCAATTAATTCTGAATAGAGAAGCTGGAACACACCAAAGGAAGCCACTTCCCCATTTACTTTACGGACGTGAATTTCCTCGCCACATTTCTGAAATTGTTCGAAGTCGGATGCTCTGGGCAACAGCTGGACCCTGACACTTTACGGGTTCTTGGGGAAGCCCGTGAGGCCAGGTGAGGAGGAAACCGAACCCTCCCCACAAGCCCCTGAGCCAACGACCCGAATCTCCACCTGTTCTGCCTTCACACACCTCTTCCTGTCTTCTTTCCTAAATCCTACACTGCCCAAGCCTGCCTGTTGCAGAGTACCTTCTCTGTTATCATTAATCCCAACCTTTTTTTTTTTTTATTTTAATGTTTACTTATTTTTGAGAGACAGAGAGAGCACAAGCAGGGGAGGGGCAGAGACAGACAGGGAGAGACACAGAATCCAAAGCAGGCTCCAGGCTGTCAGCACAGAGCAGGACGTGGGGCTCGAACTCGTGAGGCGTGAGATCATGACCTGAGCTGAAGTCGGACGATTAAGTGAGCCACCCAGGCACCCCAGCCTTTTTTGCACTAGCTGCGCTGTCACATAATTTAAGAGAGCAGGGAATTTATTTAACAATCTCTCTGATCCTCTCTGCAAAAATCAGCACAATCCTGGGACAGGAGTGACTCAAGAATGAATTTTGACAGCTCAGATGTAAAACAACACTCTGATTTGAATTTCAGGTACAGCTGCGTGAAATACAGAACTCGAAATAGTCTCCGACCAGACAATATAGGCATTCCTGCCCTTGCTTAGAAGTTCTCCCTCTTTTTCGCTTGGAGATCTCGAAGGTCTCACTTTTTACATTTCTATTATGAATGGTTTTCTCGCGCATGCTCTTTCTCTAAGAATTTCTAGAGATAAAAACAAAATCGCAAGAAAAAACAGCTTTGCCTTCAATAGTGGCAGGGATAGAGAAGCCCCCCATTGAGTATTTTAGAAATCCTAGGGGCCACTGAGACAGTGACGCCACCTCCCTGGGTGTCAGAAAACCTGGCTTCTAGTCACTTTCCCAAAGAATGCAGAAGACAAAGACTTTTCTCTGGTCCTCCACCTCTCCATCGGCAAAGGAATAGCTCCTCTGTCCACCAGCCTTTCCCCCCTTCTGTGCCGATTTTGATTCCGAGGCCAAAGCGCTGGACAGAAAGCATGGGGACTTGGTCACGACTTCTAATTCTGTCACTGGCTCGCGAAATGACTTTGGGCAAATCACTCCCTCTGAGATACACGCCCATCTGTAAAACAAAGGGACTGGGTCTGGAATCCATTCCCGGGGATGAGCGTCTGTGAGTCTATGGCCGAGATGTTAAACTTAATTACTCTTCTAAGCAACTTCCTGATTGACCGTATCCGACTCTGACCATCTCACTCCTGATGGGCTCACACGCTCTATCGAATTCCACCCGGGTAGATCTCTCTGCCGTGACTCTCCTGGCTTTGCCCAGTGTCTGTAACTCCTGGGGTCTGGAGTGGCCTCTTGGCTCCTGGGCGTCCTCATGCTGCACGGACTCTGCTCTCTGGGCGAATGGGAACCCACGGGGCCCCGGATACTCTTTCTCTCCACGCTAGCGAGGCCTCTTCTCTTTCCCAGAAAAAGGCTCTGCCTGACTAGCAAAGGCTTCATTTTTCAAGACCAGGTTCCAGGAAGGCAATCTTGTGCCGCAGGAAGTAGCGCGAGAGAGCCACGCCCCAGAAGGGCTTGCAGATGAAATGTCCTGAAAACGAGACACCGTTTTCTATGGGAATTTTCTGTCCTTGGTAATAAGCAATCAGACGCTGGCTTCCAACCATGGGACCGAGCTTAATTACACTTCAGAGCATGTGCCCCGGCAGCCAGTAATAACCACCAGTTCAGAAAGATTAGACTTGAGTAGCTTTAATCTGCGTGGATATGCAACGATGGGAAGAAAGGCGATCCATTGTGTCTGGCAAGTTCCCCGAGCCCACCTCAGCTCTGGGCACTTGCTCCGCTCCAGATTTTTGCAGAACTACATACAGAGCAGCTCAAGGTTTTATCGCACTGCGAATTTTAAATGAGAGATCAGTCCCTTCTATGAGCTACATTTTAGCAATTATGTTCACGTGATTCTACGTCACGCATTAACCACCTTCTACCCACCACCAGGCTTGTCTCCTATTTCTTTTCTGTGGGGAAGAAGGGTTAGGTTCAGCCTCCCAAAATTGTATGGGCCAATCAGGCCGGCTGACCAACACTCACTGAACCATTTCTCCAACCGGAAGCTGGGGAGTAGCACGTAGCTAAATCTCGGGAGGGGAGAAGTTCTAGAGTATGTTCACCATCACCAAATATCTCAGAATTTCCAGGACGGTACCTCTTTCAAAAATTTCCATCCATCTGTCCCCACAAATACACCCTAACCTGTCAGTTTTCAAGTCCTGATTATTGGTTGAGAAAATGGATTAGAACGTGGGGTGTAGATCCACACGGATTCAAGAAGTGTTGCTGGGTTGTTACTGAAAAAGGGACACCTGGGTATCACCATAGTCCCGTGATGTTTAAATCAATGCACAGGCGTCCGCCCTTGCGGCTGGAGGAACTCGAGTGGAAGATGT